CCCAAAGGGCTTTGTCCCCATGCACAGCCCTACCTGGGGACACACTGCAGCTGTGCCAGGCTCTGGTGAGACATAGCCAGGCACACTGCCCACACCATGGCATGCCAGGGGCTGGAGTGGGCACAAAAGCATGGGGAAACTGAGGCAGCCCCAGAGAGTGCCCAGAGAAGGTGACAGCAAGGGGAGGCTGCAGGCTGTGTCTGGCTTTGAGCGAGCAGAGCACTCAGGAGGGCTGGCAGGGGCTCTGGAGAAAGGGGCAGCTGGCACTGGGCACAGGCACAGCTCTGCAGAGTAAGGGCCTAAAATTAGGCACCGAGATAAACGGTGTGAGGTGCTGGGCCACCAGAGACACTGTCAGCATGGCTGTCCCAAGTAGAGTGCCATCAGCACCACCAGCCATAGCCTCGTACACCATAGCTGTGGGGAAACTGGGAATCAGGGAGGGCACGGAGGTGTTGGGACCACTGCCATGGAGCTGCACAGCGGTGCCAAAATGTGCTGAGTCCCCAGGACACATCCCATGCCTTGCACTCTGCTGCAAGCAGGCTTCATCCCACTGCACCAAGGAGAAGGGGCTGCACAGGGCAGGTATCACCATGCAGGATTATCACGCAGGGAGCACCATGCAGAGAGCATTACGTATGGACTGCTTCATCCACCTCCCTGTTCCTGCACCCAGACCGTCCTACAGAGGCAAGGTTACACAGCGCTTTGATTGCTGAGTGCAGGTGGAAGTGAGGAGCAGGACCCTGTGCTGGGCACTGAAGACGCACAAATCCAACCCTGAAATAAGACGCAGTCTCGGCATCGCTCATTGCTGGCACAGCTAGGGAGGCTGGGCTCTCTAGCAGGAGATCAGTGGGGTTTGGAAGAGGTGATTTAAGCTGGCTCATGGCGAAAAAGGCAGGAGGTACAACTGGGAAGTGATATGGCATTAGTGGGCAAGGAGCCGATGGTGGGGACCCCTGGAGCCCTTCCTGGCCTCATGCACACTCCCTGCTCCCCGTGCCAGGCACCGACGCACTCAAGGGACCTGGGAGAAGAGCAGCAGAAAATCATTAGTGGGGTGGAGCGACAGATTCAGGGCAAGGGATTAGAGGAGCTAAATCGGGCTCATGCGAGCAGGGGGGAATGCAGAGCCAGTGCAGGAGGACCTGAGCACAGAGCTGGGCAGTACGGAGCCCCCCCAGCAGTGACCTGAGCCACCTTGAGAGAGCTGTCAGCCCCACGGAGAGCTGCAGCTCAGTTCACACATTACGGAGAAAAGGCAGAGGATAGGGACATGGCACCATGCAGAGATTGCTGTGCCCCGAAGCAGGGCAGAGCCACAACCCTGCCCCAGGGCTGGCTTTGGGTGGCTGTTTGCTGAACACAGCACATGAGAGCACCTGGGGCAGGGTGACATTCACCCCACAGCCCTGGCTGCTCTGTGCCTCCTGAGGCTGCTCCAGAAACGTGGCTGCGAGGGCTGGGAATCGGGAGCAGGGAGGCATGTGTCAGCACAATGAGAACGAGCACCTGGGGAAATCAGGCAGCTCTGAGCAGAGACACACTGCAGGTCAGAGTGACAGAGAGATGAAGCACCACTCTGTGCCCCCATCACAATCCACAGCGCCACTGACCCCAAAGGTGTGATGCATAGTGACCACACATCCCCACTGCAGGGCAGGACAGCTCCTGCACACTTTTGTGCTCTACCTCCAGGCTCACCACCAATAGGAATGCTGGGGAAGTGGTGCTTCCCCAGCAACCCAGCCCCACACAGAGCAATGCTTCTTCTTCACAGCTGCCCCGTGCAGCACAACCCTGATGCTTTCCTCACCCACAACCCCAGTGTTTGGCATAGCCACCCTCACACATTGACACTGCTGCCCAACACCTCCAGCCAGGCAGTCCTGGTAGCACCTCAGTGTTCCAGGGAGGTGGCACTGCCCTGAGGTGACAAACCCCCTTCTGTTCAGGATATGGCCCCCACTGCAGCCAGATGCCCCATGCACACCCCACATAATGCTGAGCATAAGGCAGCCATGGTGCTTTGAAGATCAAGCTGATGCTGGCCCTTCTCTCTTGCTAATTAACCACCAGGCCCTGCCTACTTACATGCGTAAGTTCCTCCTTCATCCCTCAGGCTCCTCCCCCTGCTTCCCCACACTTGGGGGTCTCAGTTCCCTCCGTGCAGCACTGGTGCCCCCAGTGCAGCCCCACTGCTACAGCTGCAGCGGTGGCATCACAGCCACTTGTGCTCATGGGGACTGGTGCACGGGGGTGGCTGATGCAGGGAAACCAGGGGTGCCGTACACCCAAACAACATGACCAATCTCTCTCTCCTGCTGCCCCATGCAAGCTCACCATCACATGCTCCAACACCTCCACGCCCTGGCATCCTACCCTGCCTGGCAGAGGCTTCTGCAGCCACATGCTCGCTCCCCAGCTGCAGAGCTGCCCTGGTGCTGCCAGTACCGGTGATCCCAGCCCATGGCAGTCAGACATGGCACAGCTCAAGCTCAGCCAGGCCCTGGGCACGCCGTGTGGGGAAAGCCTGTGAAGCACTGCCACTGCCTTCATCATGGGGAAGCAGTTCTGGTGGGGATGCTGGAACCGTGGTGGTGGAGCAGCGGTGCCGATGGCCTTGTGGCCCTTACCTTCCATGTCGATGATGGCCAGCACGGCACTGGTCATGGCCTCTCCTCGCTCATTCTCAGCAACACACGTATATACACCGGCATCCTCCTTCGTGCTGTCCCGTATCCACAGCGTGCCGTACTCCTCCCCGCGTGGGGCCAGCTGCTCCTCATTGTGGTACCAGCGCAGGTTGGGCCGGGGGTTCCCCACCACCACCACCCGCAGTCGGATGTCACAGCCAGTGCCGATGGCTGCGTTCTTCAGCTTCCGCACGAAGGCCGGTGCTGCCAGGCGAGTGGGGCCCTCCTCAGCCGTCCCCTGCTCCGCTGTGACCTTGGCGCGCTTTGGGGGGATGCCGGGGCTCGGAGGGGCTCTCCCCATCACCCGCCCAGGCTCCCCACTGGCCCCGCTGGTGCCGCCACGTGTCTGTGCCCGGTGCATGCTGCTTGCTTTCCTTTCCTCACCTCCCCAGTGCCACAGTCCCACGCCCCGGTTTCCTTCCTGGTGCACACCAGGGGGTGCCGGCAGCGAGGCGGTCCCCTGCTCCAGGTGCTGTCTGGTTCACAGCCTCCCCCAGGCCGGCCACAGCCCCGAAGGTCGTGGTGCCGTGGGCAAGCTGGGTACTATTTTTAGGCTGGGGGCTCAGATTGCCGCTCACCGCATCGCTTCTCACCCAGCGCAGCACCCATGCACCATGCTCCACCACAACCCCTGCCCACCCTACACCTTGGCACCTGCTCCGCCGCTGCCCCGTGCGGGTCCCACGGTGCCGGTGCTGCCCTGCCGCTGGGCCCTGACGTCCCCCCCCTCACCCGTCCCGCACGGCCCCCACAGAGCTGCGTTCCCTCTGCCCCCTCTCCTGAAGTGGCAGCTGCCTCTGATATGTCACATTCCTTGGCCAGGCTCCCCCTCTCCGCGCCCGCCACGCAGCTCTGCAGCCCAGCTCCGCTTGCAAAGATAGAAAGGGGCCAGCACCTTTCCATATTAGCAGTGAGGCCAGAGGGGAACCAGCCTTCCCCCCCACCTTCCCCATTCCCAGGCATGTCACCGGATCGGGACACAGAGACCCTGGTGGCATGCAGAGGGAAAGGACACCGTCATGCTTCCTGCAACACAAGACCCTGTGGTGAACTGGGACAGGATCTGGGCTCTGCACTCCATCCCCAATGAGGGCTATGGGCTTTGGGGTGCATCTCTGGAGCCAGCAGACAGGGCTACCAGTGCCACACAGCGCCTCGCCACCCCCAGGCAAGGCAGGGCTTCCCTGGCTCTGGATTTATGGCACACATCTCATCACCTGGCCCCAGCCGCCCTCTCCAGGGGCTGTAAATCTGGGTGAGCGGGATGTTAACGATATGGCACGCTGCTCGCCTGCTGTGAATGAGCCTGGCTGGCTTTGGCAGAGCCAGTGGCCACCAGCACAAAGGCAGCTCATTAGTGGCACAGCACCAGCACCGACGTTCTGCATGTAGGGGAGCAGCTGCGATGCCCTGGGACATGCTAGGGTTGGGGACCCCGCTACCCACACCTGGGGCTGCAAAGTACCTGGGCAGACCCCAGCAGAACCAGAGAAAAAAAAGCCCGTGAGAGCCCTGGGGCCTCTTCTGCTGCATCTCAGTGCCTAGAGCTGCTCCTTCCCCACTTTGTCCCCAGCCTCAGGGGTGGCAGAGGGAGCAACTGGAACAGGGCAGCCGTTGGGGCAGCTGCGGTGCAGGGGGCTTCAAGAGGGTGGCAGCGATGAGTAAGGTGGGGGCAGAGCAGAAGGCAGAGCCCTGGCTCCACCAGCTAGGCAGGGAGGGAAGTGGCTGGTGGCGCCGTCTGTCCTCAGGGCAGTCCTCGATGTCACAGGGCCACCTGCTGGACACAGATCTTGAGGTCTGAATGCCCTACAGTCCTCTCTTTGGTCCTGCAGCCAAAAGAGGGGAGTCCTCACAAAGACAGGAAGCTGTGCTGCCTCTCTGGCGGCAGCCCTGTCCCCGCCGGTGTCAGCAGCTTGAGAACACCTGGTTGTTGTCGCTGAAACATCCCACTGGGCTCGGTGAGGGCAGAGAGGGGCAGCACCGGCTGAGAGCCACCTCAACACGTTGTGACCCTGATGGGGGAACACGGAGCGTCCCTCCGTGTGCTGGGGGCCAGCCCAGCGGGGCTGGTTTTGGCATGGTGGACACCTCTCTGCAGGCAGAGGGCCCCAGCAGAATATGGGGATCCCAGAGCCACTCTGAGCCTGCTCAAGGCTCAGCTCACCTCGGGGACGGGCTCTGCTGCAGTCCTGGTACCTGAATATCCCTCTATGTCCCTCTGTGCACCACCCCCTGCCCCTCCCACGCGTCCCCCCCCCCCTCCCCGCCCCCCCCCCATAGATGCACTGGAGGCAGGGCGATGCTCCTCTGTTTATTTCAGCCGCCGGCAGTCACGTACACGCGGTGGGGTGGGGGTGCGGTGGGGCGAGGGGTGGGGTCGCCGGCCCTGGCCCCCGGGCCTCTCTCCGGCTCCTCTCTCTCTTTGCCCCCTCTCTCCCACTCACTCACTCCTGCTCTTTCCTGTGTCCACCTACGGGTTTCCTCTCGGCTCAGCCAGCCCCGTCCCCGCGCAGCCTCTCCCCCCACCCGCCCCCGGACGGGGCTGCCTCTAGGGCAGCGGTGGGGGGGAGCGCAGAGCCCCGGCCCCCGGAGCACCCCAGCCTCTCCCCGTCCCCGGCATCGCTGCAGCCCCACCCAGGAGAAACGCCAGCTCCGAGGCGGGCTGCGGTGCCGTGCGGGGAGACGGCTCCTGCTCCTGCGGGACCGCCCCCGAGCGGAAGGGGGGGGGGGCTGCGGGGCGCGGGGGGGATGCAGAACCCGCTGCTGGGACCCGAGGCCACCACCTGCTCCCCCCACCCCTTCCTGCCTGTCCCCTCCGTCCCTCTCTGCCGCCCCCCGGCCCGGCCCTGATCCTGGCGCTAGCTGCGAAGCCTTGCGAAGCCGAAGGAGAGAGCCCGGGGGTGCGGGGGAAGCCCGGGCCGTGCCCGGAGGCGGCCGTGTCGGGGGGGAGTAAGGTCTTGGGGGGGGGCAAAAGGGCGGCTGGGCACCGGGTCAGAGTCTTCTACAGCACCTCGTGCTGCTGCTGGGTCGCCTCGCTCACCACCTGAGGGAAAGGAACGTGAGATGATGCCATGTCCCCGATCCCCACCGCCCATCTGTCTCCCTGCGGTGCTCACCTCTCCATCACGAGTTTCGATGGTTTTGATCATCACTGTCTTCTTGGTGTGTACCTCGGAGCCACGCTGGTCTGGGCTGGTCTCTGTAGGGTGGGGGACACAGGGATGACAGCGACCACACAGACAGGTGGCATGGGAAGATGGCACTGGGGCTGGGGCCGAGGGTTTCCAGAAGCCCCGGCCCCACCTCACCCAAACACCTCATGTGCCCCTCCCCCGTCCTCCCCCAGCCTAGCAACGGGACCCCCGAGGGTTCAGCCCAACTCACCTCGGAAATTGAGAGCAGAGGCAAAGGTCTGGTGCATGGGGATGCTGATCCTGAACGGACACAGAGGGGAGAGCTCAGCGCCAATCACCCCAAAACCACGTCCCCACCTTGTCCTGCTTCCCCTGCCGCTCACCGGTTCTCCTCGCCCTCCAGCAGCTTGCGGTAGGTGGCGATCTCCACATCCAGGGCCATCTTGACATTGAGCAGGTCCTGGTATTCGCGCAGGTGCCGGGCCATCTCATCCTTCAGGTGCCGGATCTCTTCCTCCAGCCGCGCAATAGTGTCCTGGTACCCGCCGGCCTCCCCCGCAAAGCGCTCCTCCATTTCCCGCATCTGGCGCATCAGCGAGTCATTCTGGGGGGACAGTGGTGTGCGTCAGCAGAGGGGTGGCACATGGAGCGCTTCTGGGGCACCCTAAAGTCCTTCCTGGGGAGCCCGGGGTTTGTTCTGTGCTGCTATGGCTCACCGTGCCCTTGAGGGCATCGATCTCACAGGTGTAGGACTGGATCTGGTGGCGGTACTCCAGCATCTCCTGCTTGGCCTGCCGCAGGGCATCGTTGTTCTTGTTGGCTGCCTGCGTCAGGTCAGACACCTGTGGAGAGGATGTGGTGAGCAGATGTTGTCATGGGGACGGACCCACCGATCCCCAGCCCGTCCCCAGCCCCACACCTTGGATTTGTACCACTCCTCAGCCTCGGCAATGTTCTTGGCGGCGATGCTCTCGTACTGTGCGCGGATGTCCCGCAGCGCGGCTGTCAGGTCGGGCTTGGAGATGTCCATCTCCACCTGGATATGCTGCTCCTGTAGCTGAGCCTGCAGCTCGCGGATTTCCTGGGGACACAAAGGGGCGTGTCAGGACCCCATTCCCTGCTCCATTCCCCAGCCCCAGCCATGCCCATGGGACCGCCCCATACCTACCTCTTCGTGCACCTTCTTGAGGAAGGCAATCTCCTCCTGCAGGGACTCGATGCGTCTCTCCAGGTCAATACGTGCCAGCGTAGCTGCGTCCACATCCTGGAACACAGAGAGTGGGGTTAGGGGTGGTGATAGGCACCCTCGGGTTGCACAGGGACTACCAGCCAAGGCTGGAAATGGCAAAGCTGTGCCCACAGCCATGCTCCAGTGATGGGCACTGGTTGCTTGAGGAGGGGGCAAGGAGGAGAGAGGTGGCCAGGCAGCGTGGGGATGTGTCTACTCACAGCTCTGAAAGCAGCCAGGTTGTTCTCAGCCTCCTCCTTCAGCTGGATCTCCTCTTGCAGCCTGGAAGCAGAGAAGGAGGCATTTGGGGACACCCGAACAGACCCCTGTCCCCCAGTATTGGTGTTTCTTCTTGCTGTCCCCAAGCACAGCGTGGCTGGTGGGAACACAGCAGATTGTCCTGCACTCCCAGCGGGCGGAGAGAGGGCTGGCTGGGGGCCAGGGGTTCTTCCTCCCATTCCCTATTATAGTCAACGGCAACGGGAGCACAAAGGCATGAGGTCAGCTCGGTGTCATGCTCACTGCCCCAGCCCTTATAGGGACGAGTGGCCAGCAGCTGGGGGACAGGGTCCTGAGAGGCTGCCACTGGCTGAGTCACTCATGGGGACAGCAGGACGGGCTGAGCACCTGGCTCAGAATGTGGGGAGCCAGAGTGAGACAGTGGGCTTTGGGGTCTCCACAATGCTGTGGGTATGGAGGTCAGCCCAGGAACTGTGACAAGGGAGGGGGCTGCATGCCCTAGGCTGCAGCTCACAGCCTCAAGGGGACAGAGGTGCTTGTCTGTGTTGGCACAGCAGTGCAGGAACCTGACACCCGTTTGTCCTGTGCCCTGCTCCTCCCCTGACATTCAGGGTCGTCCTACAGAAGCAGCGCAGCTGGGTGGCAGGACAGCCAACCGCCATCAGCCTCACAGCATCAGTAGCTCCAGCCCAAGCTGCTGCTCTTGCTGGGTCATCCCTTGGTGATGAGGACCCCAACCTCCCCTGCCCACATCCCCATGATGTCACAGCAGCCAACACCCGGACCTCAGGACCAGAGGTGCTGCCTGATAGCCCCGTGCTGGTTGCACCACAGTGTCCCTCATTCCAGTGGCCATTCCCCCTGGACCCAGCCTCATCCCCATCCTACGGCATCCCTACAGAGCCTGGAAGCCTCTTCAGCTCCTGCTGCACCATAGCACCCACAGCAGGCCGGGAGCACTGCTGGCCTGTGGAAGTGCAGCCGTTTCCTCCCCTCCCTCCCTCGCATCCGGAGCCAGCAGAATCCCCACACACACCCCACAGCCCTCCCTGCTTCTGTACATCTGTCTATCTGTCCATCAGGGCTAAGATCAGCCATGAGCTCTTCTTGCTGTGAAGAACAGGGCCCCCTGATCCCTGGCTCCAGTGATCCTGTGCCATCACTGCACAAGAGTGCAAGGGACACCTCCTGCTGCTGGGGACATCCTCCCACTAGGTGCTCCCTGACCACCTCCAAAGGGCTGGTGTGCGGCTTCTCTGTGTCATGGCTTAGTAACCCCACGCTCTCCCGAGACCTGCAGACATAGTGCCAAGGCTTTGGCCCTGCCGTGTGCCCTGCGGATGGGTGCCCAGCTGGAGACACCCTGGGAGAAGTGAAGGGGTGAGGGGATGGAGCGGCAGGGCCACGGTGGTGAGCACCCAGGGGGATGCCAGAAGGGTCTACCCAGGGCTGGAGCCATCCAGGATGGATCGGAGAGGGAAGGGCCCCCTCACCTCTGCTTGAGCTTCTGCAGGTCATCTAGCAGGTTGTCACGCTCCACCTCCACGCGCGCCCGCTGCCCGGTGAGCGCGTCCACCTGGCGCCGCAGCTCCCGCAGCTCCTCTTCGTACATCTCGGCCACGCGCGTGGGCTCCTTGCCCCGCAGGCGGTTCACCTCGGCCACCATCAGCGCATTCTGCTGCTCCAGGAAGCGCACCTTCTCAATGTAGTTGGCGAAGCGGTCGTTGAGCTCCTGCAGCTCCACTTTCTCGTTGGTGCGGGTCTGGAGGAACTCCTGGTTCATGGCATCGGCCAGGCTGAAGTCCAGCAGCTCGCCGGCCCCCTGGTAGGCGCTCTGGTAGGTGCGCAGCGGTGTCACACGAGTGGTGCGGAAGGTGGACAGGGTGGGCACGGCCGAGGTGCGCGACACCTGGTAGACACGGGAGGTGACAGAGCTGCCGCTGCCCCTGCTCCCAAACGAGGCACGGGGGAAGACCGGCGAGGTGCCGCCACCAAAGGTGCGGCGGTAGGAAGAGACCCGCTGGCTGGAGGAGTACGACTGGCTCATGGTGGCGGTGAGGCGGCGGCAGGGAGCAGGGAGCAGGCAGCAGGGCTGGCGAGCGGCCGGAGCTCGGCAAGGCGTCGGGAGTCGATCTGCGCCGCTGCTATTTGTATCCTGCTGACATCACCGGCCCCTCCTGCTGCGGGACAGCTGGGGGATGCTGCTGGAGGGGACGGCTGCCAACCCCCGCCCTCGGCACTCACCTGTGGGCACCGCTGGGCCGTGGCCTCCCAATAGTCCCCTGATGGCTCACAGCCCCCCTAGGGTCCCCCTGGGTGCCACAGTCCTCTCAGCACATTCCCCCTTCCTGGGCGATATTGCTGTGGATATCAAGGGAAGGGATGGGGGGCAGGTGGATGGGGATCCCCCCCAGCACTGCCCTGACCCCAGCTGGGGCACAGTGCCCCCATTGGAGTGTCAGACGGACAGCTGGGCTGATGCCAGAGAGTAAGAAGTGGACTCAGTACATTTCCACTTCTGGAGCCCAAACCCCATAGCCTAGTGGGGCACATTCCCTAAACTGGCCTTATGCACCCCAGCAGCATCCCAACTTGCCCCATGGCGAGAGTACCAGGCTCAGATCTCTGTGGGGCCAGATGCCATCCCCACCATGGGACATGCCCTCAGAGGGAAGGGACACAGGAAGGGAGCAGTGTGGGGGCCCCTGACTTGAGCGTGCTTGGAATTACCACCACCCTGAGCCCACACAGGGGTCCAAGATGGGGCTGGGCACCCTCGAGGGGGTACTGAGTGACCCAGAGCAGGTGCTGGGGTGCAGAGCAGCCCAGTGATGGTGACGTCACTCCCGGGTTCTGGCTCTGGCACATTCCCGAAGCAGCAGGCACCCAACCAAAATAGCCTCATACTCATCCGCGTGGGACATCAGTGGTATTTATAGCTGGGGAGGCACCCTCTTAACCCTTTCTGTGCCAGGTACATGGATGGGGACCCTGCCCTCCTCCTTGTCACTGTCACCCCCCATGCAGGTGTTAGCATGCCTGAGCCCTGGGAAAAGACAGCTGCTGCTGCTTGCACTTCTGGGGTGGCCACGCTGGGAGGCCCCCTGCTCCCCAGGCCCCACTGCCCACACAATGCCCCCTGCCATACCCAAACCAGGCTGCTTCAGGAGCTGGCATGGTCCTTGCACCACTGTCCCCAGGACACTGTTGCACAGGGGACTGTTGTGCCACTGGGCACAGGGTGACTCAGCAGCAGGAGCAACGCTCAGCCCTGCACCTCCCAGCCCCATGCATGCAACAAGAGGTGCCTGGGCTCAGCACTACAGCCTGGAGGCAGTGAGGGGCTGGGAGCAGTGAATGCGGGCAGGTGGTCAGGGTCCCGCATCTGGACTGTGCCCCCCAGACCCTCCCTCTGTTTGGAGTCCCTCCAGGCTGCCCAGACGCAGAATAACACCGTGGCTTCCTGGACGGTGCTCACTGCCCGGCGGAGCCTGACTTTAAAAGGGAAGGTATTTCCAGATGGGGCTGTTTCATCCCAGCGGGGGGGACATTGTGTAAGGGAGGGCTTGAGGGACGAGAAGGAGAAGATGGAAAAACATACAGCATCCTTCCTCCCTCTGCCCCCCTTCCCTGCTCTGACCATGCCCAGCTCATCTCTGACCCCATGCATCAGCCCGTGGCTGAGATGTGAAGGGACACATGGGTCCCCACACCAGCACAGCCCCACTGCTCAGTCGTCCCTTCCTGTGACTCCATCCCACTGCTCTGGGTCAGGGTTGGGGTCAAGACACTGTGCATGGGGAGTGGCTCCCAGTATGGTGCTGACCCCACTCTGGAATGCACTTTCTGAAGTGGCCTTTCCTTGGCCGCCCTACAGCCTTCCGGGACACCGTCACAGGGCAGAGGCCCTGCATTTGGCATGGGGCCGACAGAGGGACAGACGCCTCTTAGGAAATTCCCTTCCCCATGGTGCAGGAAGGAGGCGGGAGGAGCGAGAAGTGGAGATGTGGGCAGATGGGTCCTCAGCCACGTGCTGGGTTTGTCCCACTCCACAGCACTGGAGACAAACTTAGCATGGTCCCTCCAATTGTGGACCAGAGCAGAGGCAATGCCCCAGACAATACCCCCCACCACGCTCAGCATCATTCGGCTCCAGCCCAGGCCATGCTGACCCAGATGGAGCCTGGGAACGGGGCCCCAGTCCCCAGCGCTGGCTTGGCCCCAGCTCCCGCAGGGCCCCGGGATGAAGGCATCGGGAGCCAGAATGTCAAACAACACCGTGAGCCAAGCCAGCTGCATCCCGCAGCCGGCCCTCCTCTCTGGCCCTCCCTCCCCGCTGCTCCCCCGGGATTTAAGGCACGCGGGGATCCGGGCACAGCCTCCCTGGGGCTGCGGGCACTGGGGGCTGCAGCCAGGCGGGATGCAGGGATGGGGCACCAGCTGCCACTCAGTCTCATACCACGGTGCTGCCGGGCAGGTTCGGGCCCTGCCTGGCCTCCTCCTGATGAGGATGAGAAAGGAGCAGCCAGGGTGTCCCCCCCACTTCGCTGGCCCCCGGCCGTCTCCCTCCGTCCCGCTCCTTTTACAGACACGAGCCTCTGAGGCGCCTTTACCCTAACAGGGAAGGAGCGGACGCCTGTTCTCTTCGGCGCGTGTTATTGTCTAAATAGGAGATCACTCTTCCTCTGTGCCTGGAGTGCAGCCCAGCCAGTGTGCTGGGGTCCCATGGAGCCCTGGGTGCCCCCAAAAGCCACAGACCACTGTTTGCTGCTCCCTCCAGGCTGCCAGCATGGACACACAGCAGCCCCAGTCCACATTCCTCCCTCCCCAGGTTTAGCGATGCTGGGGGTGGCTGCTTGTCCCTGATTGCCATGGGGATGCTGGGTGTGGCACAATTGCCATGGAGATGCTTGGGGTGGCTGGCTGACCCCATAATCCGCATGAAGACAGGGCATGGTCCCCTCGATCCATGTGAGTGTGTGGGACATGTTTTCACCTTTGTCCAGGGAGACATTATGGGGCACTTGTTAGGGCCTAGTGTGGATGCTGTGGGACAACCACCTCCATCTCCACATCCAGTGCTGCCTGCACTGATCAGCCACATCTAGTTGTGACCCATGGGGATGCTGGTGATGTTCACCTGTCCCACAAGCCATGGGGATGCCCACGGCTGACCTGGCAGCCCACATAGATGTGGGATAACTTGCCACCCTCACAGCCCAGGAGAATGCTGGGTCATCCATCTCTGTGGCCTTCATGGCATCACCCATACCAGTGAGATGAGGCAGCACTCGCCCCATCCCACTGCATGGCTGGCGGCTGGCGTAAGGGCGGCTGTGCGCTCAGCCTCCAGCAATGCCCGGGCGCTGACTTCACTTTCCCATGCAGGGACACGTGGCCTGGGCTGGGGGCTCGGCAGCAGCACGGTTGCCATCCCCGTGCTCATCCTGGCAGGGCGGGTGCCGGGGGGGCAGGCAGGCTGCAGGAGAAGGGGGCGGCCCTTCCAGGAGCTTTGCACATCCATCCTGGCTGCCTGGCCCTTAACCCCTTCCAGTGGGGCTCAGCTCCGGCCGCACGGCCCTATAACCACGGGAAAGGGCACGGCACCGCAATCCCCGGTCCCCTCGGCACCGCACACCCATGGGCGCACGCAGGAACCCTGAGGCGGGCCACGAGCCCTGCAGCGAGGCTCCCAGCCGCACTGAGCGCTGCGGGGTGGGGAAGCGACGGGGCGCGGGGCAGCAGGTGCAGGGTGAGTCAGGGAGCACCCAGGAATAGCCACTGGCAGCTTTTCCGGGAAGACCCTGCAGCTCTGGGAATCAGCAGCAGCGTGCCAAGGCGCTGCCCTTTGCCCACTGCAGCGGTGCCACACCCGGCCCCGCCACTCACCCGCACCCCCGGCACCCCGATCCCATATCCATCCGCCGGTGCAGCGAGCACCCCCTGACCTGGGGGCCCGCAGCTGACCCACGCACCCGCGCCCCCGGCAGGAGGCTGCGCGCCGTGGATCCGGCACGGCCCGTGTTTGGCTGCGGCGGCCGCGGTTGGCATGGAGACCCCCCAGCTGTCCGCTGGCGGGGTGCCAGGCAGGGGGGCCCCGTTCCAATTTTTTTTTTGGGGGGGGGATGTAAGGCAGGTGCTGGGTTGGGAGCACAGATCCGGGGCTACCGGGGTCACGCCAGCGTTGGCGGGAGGGGGGCGGGGGGGTGCTGGGGGACGGGGACACGGAGCGCCGCGCTGCGTTACGCCACGACCTTCCTCGGCGCGGAGCTGTCGGTCCTCCCCGCCAGCAGGGGGCGCGCGGCGCGGCGCGGGGCGGCGCGAGGAGGGGCGGCGGCGGCGGCCATGCAGGTACCGGGCGGGAAGCGGCGGCGGCGGAGCCGGGGGGGGTTCGGTGCCGCCGTGCGCCGCCCCCGGGACCGGGAGGGGCGGGGGAACTCCACGGCCCGGTCCCGGGGGTTCGGGGAGCGGGGCGGTTCCCGACGTGACCGCGGTGGCGGTGCCCGCAGGCGGTGGGCCCGAAGCAGGCCGTGCAGGCGGCGGCGCAGGAGCTGGTGAGGTTCGTCAACCGCGGCCCCTCGCCCTACCATGGTAAGAGCCTCCCCGCCGCCCCGCCGCCCCGCCGGCACCAACCGCCGGCTGACCGAGCCTTCCCCGCAGTGGTGGCCGAGTGCCGAAGCCGCCTGCTGCAGGCCGGCTTCCAGGAGCTGAAGGAGACGGAGCACTGGGACGTCCGCCCCTCCTGCAAGGTGGGTCCGGGGCCGAGGGCTGGGGGCCGAGGGGGGAGCGCGGCCCTCACGGCCTGCCCCGCGCCTCCCCTCCCCGCAGTACTTTGTCACCAGGAACTACTCCACGCTCATCGCCTTCGCCGTCGGGGGCCGCTTCCAGCCGGGGAATGGGTTCAGCCTGCTCGGGGCACACACCGACAGCCCCTGCCTCAGGGTGAGAGCTTCCCGACGGCTAATTGCTCTGAGCCCTTGTGCCCTCTGACATCTCCCTGCCGCCCCCCGCAGGGTGCCGAGTCCCCGCACTGCCCCGCTTTTGCATTCCCCTCCCCACAGAGCGCATCATGGCACGCTGGTGGGCTCTGGGCATGCTTTACCCGGTCCCCACCGGTGTCCCGGACCCTGGTGTCATCTCTGTCATCCAGGTGAAACGACGCTCGAAGCGGGGGCAAGTGGGCACGGTGCAGGTCGGTGTGGAGACCTATGGAGGGGGCATCTGGAATACCTGGTTTGACCGTGACCTCACCGTGGCAGGAAGGGTGATCATAAAGGTGAGCCCGGGGCAGGGACGGTGGCTTGGCTGTGGAGTAGGACATGCTGCTACTCCTGCGACCTCCCAGTCCTGCAGACGTGGCCCAGCGAGGCAGCTTAGCAGTCCTGCTGTTGTTTCAGGAGCCGAACACGGGGCACCTGGAGCAGCGACTGGTGTGCGTGGAACGGCCCATTCTCCGCATCCCCCATCTGGCCATCCATCTGCAGCGCAGCATCAATGAGAACTTCGGACCCAACACTGAACACCACCTGTAAGGCCCGGCTCAGCCCTCCCAACTGGAGCAGTGCCCAGCCCCAGTTCTCTCCCTGTGGCAGCTGCTGATTGCAGTGGGGTGGGTTACAATGGCTTCACTCATAGTGAAGGGCTTGGGAAAGAGCACTGGGGTGTCCTAAGGTGGCACAATAGGTCTGTGCTTAAAGTTTAGTGTGTCCTTGCTCCATTCAGCATGGCAGTTAGTCTCCGGAGGGTGAGCAATGCCCTGGCAGCTGCTGACACTGTCTCCCCACAGGGTTCCCATTCTGGCTACTGCTGTGCAGGAGGAGCTGGAAAAAGAGCCAGCCACAGAGCACACAGCTGGTGTTGCTGCAGCCCAGGTGAGTAGGTTGCCAAGGACAAGTGGGGGGCTCACTACAGTCTCCCATGTGCCATCTTTTGATCTCTAGTCCTCAGGGCTCCCTGCCAGCAAGTTCTCCTTCTTCCCATTCTCAGCTACTCACTCTCAGTTCCAATCCAGAACCACTTATTCAGCACATGTGCTCCACTGTTCTCTATTCCCACCTCAGCCTGCAGCCATCCTAAAGGAAAGGGAAAATCCCCCATCAAACTGTCACATATAGGCTCCCTTTTCTCTCAGAGGAGGGAGGAGAGGTTGTGCAATGGGCAGGGAGCTCCTCAGTATGCCCTGTGAGCACAGCTCAGTGAGGGCTCTGATGCAGAGTGTGTGAGTAGGCAGGAAGCCTAGGACTGCATTGTGAGAAGGGAATGAGAAAGTTTCTCTGCTATCCATCATTTGCACTACCCACAGCTCTGCTTTTTTCCCAGACAGAGCGGCACAGCCCTGTCCTGCTTTCCCTGCTCTGCTCACAGCTGGGAGTGAAACCAGAGCAGATTGTCGAGCTGGAACTATGCCTGGCAGATACGCAGCCAGCGGTGAGTACAACAGAGCCTCCTTTTACCTGTATGCAACATGCCTGCAGGCTGGCACTGCCCAGTCCCATGCGCAGGACAATTCCTCTGCCTGGGGGACACAAAGCTGAGTGCAGACTGAGAGGAAATGGCTCCTAGGGGGCAAAGGTGTGGACTGGGCTGGGAACACATCTCACCTGCTCTTTGGTGTCTCAAACTCTGTGCCTTACTCCTTGTTCTCTGACTGCAGACTCTTGGTGGTGCCTTTGATGAGTTCATCTTCTCCCCACGCTTGGACAACTTGCACAGCTGCTACTGTGCTCTGCAGGTGAGAGGAGAAGGGAAGGAGCTTTGGGGCTTTGTCAGGGCCCTCTTGTGCCTCGACTTAGCTTTGCTGGTCTGTTAGCTGGTTCCTATGGCAGGGGTTCTTGGGCCTGGGGTTGGATAGTTGCTGCCCCCTTGTGCTGAGTGTGTGGCATTCCCAGCATCTCCTGAGGGTGATGAATTCTGCTCTCATTGGGCAATGTACCCACAGCTCCTTTCCTTGGTGCCTTGGACTTTCCTGGGGACGTTCCTGCCAGCTCAATGCTGAGCTTCCTTGGATAGGGTGGCACTCAGACTGGTGCCCTTTCTCCTCCTTTTTCTCTCCAGGCGTTGATAGACTCATGCACAGTTCCTTCCCTCTCCCAGGAGCCTAATGTGCGCCTCATTGCACTCTATGACAACGAGGAGGTGAGGAGCATAGCCGTGGGGTGGCTGGCACACAGAGGGGCTCTGTGTTCTGTGCTCCTTCCACCAATGACTAGAAGGAGTTACATCCCAGCCCCCCATGGAGCACCATAGGGTTTGCTCACCCCACCACAAAACATAGCCTGGGCCTGGCAGGGAGTGGGAACTTCTGATATAATTGGAAGCCTCTCTGCTGGGTGTGGGGAGCTTGCTGTCACTCAGCTGGCCTGGAGTGCTGGAGGTGGCTGGGGTGGTGCTGGCTGGGTTGTGCTGATGGGTCCTCCTTGCAGGTAGGGTCAGAGAGTGCGCAGGGTGCTGAGTCCCTTCTGACAGAGCTGGTGCTGCGTCGAATCTCAGCATCACCACAAAACCTGACAGCCTTTGAGGAGGCAGTGGCCAAGTCCTACATGATCAGTGCTGACATGGCCCATGCAGTGCACCCTAACTATGTGTGAGTATTCTGAACCCTACCACGTTGCATCTGGGGACACATCTTTTGCACTCCTATTGGCGTAGTGGCAGGACAGTTCTTGTAAGGGAGAGGCGGGATTGCAGCATGAAACTTCTGCTTCTCTTTTGCAGGGACAAGCATGAGGAGAATCATCGGCCAGCCTTCCACAAGGTGAGCACAGCCTTCTGCTTTGTGCCAGACCTGGTGCCATCTGTCTGCTCAGCAGCAGTGTGAAACACACAGCCACTGTCCAGAGTGCAACTCGGCAGCAGTTTTACAGGAGACCTTTGTCCTACCACACAGTGCAGTTATGCTACATTGCTGGAGTTAATTACATGGAACCACAGTCCTATCTGTGAAGATCTTCCCTGGCTTAGAGCTGGGGTTGTTCCCAGGGCAAGCATGTCACTCCTAGGATCCAGGGGGTGGGACAGCATTTCTGACTGTGGGTCTGTCTTGGGCACTGGGCACTTTGAATCCTGTAAGTAATACAGTATATCCCTGTGCCAAACCCCACATCTTCTCTTTCATAGGGCCCTGTCATCAAAGTGAACAGCAATCAGCGCTACGCCTCCACAGCTGTCACTGAGGCAGTCATCCGGGACATTGCGGCCCGTGTGGGTGTTCCTCTGCAGGTGAGCACAGCTGGGTGAGCACAGCTCCCTGGTGAATATTACCAGTTCTTGCTGAGGCCATGTGCTGGAGGGCAGGACCAGTATCAGGAACTTACCTCTCCACTACTGTACCTATGCCTGCTGGTGTCTGTGCTGCCCTGCTGTGCTGGGTGTCCTGGCAAGCAAGCTCAGGGGCTAGAAGGGAGTGCAGGTCTAGCCTGACCTCCCTGAAGCTCTCTGGGGGCTTTGGCATCTTGGCTTACAGACTGTGCAGCTTCCCTGTCCCAGCACGTCTTCCATTAGGACTAAGCCTGGTGGAAGCCATGAGGGAGGCTGTGGGGCACTGGGAGCAGCTGCCAACCTCATGTGTCCGTGCAGGAGTTCATGGTACGCAATGACACGCCATGTGGCACCACCATCGGCCCCATTCTGGCCTCCCGCCTGGGGCTGCGCGTGCTGGACATCGGCTGCCCGCAGCTGGCCATGCACTCCATCCGAGAGATGTGCTGCACCTCGGGGGTGCTGCAGAGCATCACTCTCTTCAAGGTGAGCCGGGTCTCTGCCTGCTGGCCCAAATCCCCACTGCTCTGTGCTCCGCATCCCCTTCAGCCCCACCTTTTGGGTGGGCTCCCCACTGCATGGGGGCAGCGCAGCAATATCAAGAACTTCCAGAGGTGCTCCTTGCCTCTCCGCCATCCGTCCCAGCCTTCCCTGGTGACTGCCATCCCCAAATGGTTCCTATGGCAACCAGCGCTAGCCTTGAGTCAGTGATGGGTTACTATGGTGACGCGGTCCTGCTCTGTGCAGCAGCTGGCTGTGCTGAGGCTGCACATAACCCAGCAGGGAGCTGCTGCCTGTGCCCCTGACCTGTGTCCTGATGGCCCTTCTCCTTTCAGGCGTTCTTTGAGCTCCTGCCAGTGGTCAGCAGCAGCCTGGTGGTCGACTGAGTGCGGTGGGAGAACAGCTGTGGGATTCATCCCTGATTAAAGCATCTCTGTCTCAACGGGGAGTGGTCTGTGTGTCTGGCTGGGGAGGGGAAGGGACAGCTGTGGATCCTGAAACTGCTGAGAATGTTGTCCAGCAGAGGAGTTGGAGTGAAGGATGGCCCTCAGAACTGTTGCTGTCCCCAAGGCCCTGACAGGGCTGTAGGTGGGCTGGGGCCAGCCATGAGTTCCTGCCTTGCACCTTTGCTAGCCTCAGCCCCTCTGTGCCCCTACCCCAGGAAGGGCCCTGAGGAATCACTTTGGAGTGCTGGACCCAGATCTGGGGATGCCTCTCCTGGCTTCCCGACGGCCGGCTTTGGCGGGGCAGGGTGTGAGGGTGTGTCTGGTGCTCGCTGCACATTGACTAGGGTGCAGGGGCGAGGCCCAGGCAGGAGCCAGTCGGGCCGCAGGGCGGGCAAGGGACGGCCGTTGATTGGCGGCTGCGTGCCTGCGCGACGACACACCCCCTAAGGGCGGAGTTTGTCTCGGGGGAGGCCGTGATTGGCGCGTTGCTCGGCCGTCTCTCCCCGGAACGCGACGTCATTGGCCTCGCTCTACCGGAGGGGGGCGTCAGCATAAAACGGGGGGAAATAAGTCGCGGCCTCCAATTGGCTGCTGTGCGAAGTGGGCGTGGCGCGGCGGCGGCGGGGCGGGCGCTATTGGAGGAGCGGCGGCGGTGGGCGGGGCGCGCGGCGCGGCGCGGCGGGGCGCGGGTTGGCGGCAGCGGGGGCGCGGCCGGTGGGTGCGCCATGGTGCGGCCGTGAGCGGAGCATGGGGCGGCGGCTGCTCCGGGCGCTCCTCTGCCTCCTCCTCGTGGCCGGCCGCGGGCTGCTGCGGGTCGGAGGCGCCACCGCCGCGCACGGTGAGAGTGGGGCTGCGGGAGGGGCGGTGGCACCGCCCGGCCGGCGTTCCCGAGGCTATCGGGTGGGGCGGCGGGATGCCGTAGGGCGGGGGGATGGGTGCTGTGGTGCCGTCACGACGCGGCGGGCCCGGCACCGGTAACGGGAGAACGGCGTCGTGCGTCACCCGCACCGGGGGCGCCTCTGCCCGGGCTGCTGAGCTCGTGAAGGGGATGCCCCCGGGCGTTCCGCTAACTGCGGAGTTGCAGCGCCCGGCAGGACGGAACGGGAGCGGGGCAATGCTCTTCCGGACACCTAGCCTGGCGGGCGCTGCGGGGCCCGGCTCTGGGGTACAGCCGCGAGAATGGGGACTGGGGCAGCGTCACCGCGCGGTGGCTTCTTGCGGGACCCCGCTGCCCTTTAGCCGCCCTCCGCCGGCAGGTGCGGCCCGGGACCCGGAGCGAGCCGGTATGCTCTCTGAACGCTCCAGCTCTGCCCACATCTCCCTTCCCGGAGCCCTGGGGGTACTGGGGGCCCTTACCGGCAGCAGGGCTGCGGCCCCCCGCACGGGCCCCGCGGCCGCTGACTCACTGCCGGTGGGCATGTGCCTCTCCGTCCATTCGTTCCCGGGCAGCGGACCCCTGCAGTCACCCTGCTGAGGAGGGGAAGACCGTCACCCGCTCCCCTCGCAGTCCTGCCATCCCCGGGAGCGGCTGCGGCCGAGCCCTGCCCGGCCCAGGTTTCCTCCCCCGGCGAGGAGCGGGACTGCCCGGCGGGACGCGGCTCCGTCTGTTCAGCACCACGGACAGTGCCCGGCCCGCCGCCCGGTCCCGGAGCCCGCGGCCCGGAGGCCCCCCAGCGCCACCCGCGCTTCCCTGCGCTCCGCGCCTCCTTCCGCTCCCACCCTGGGGAGCTGGCAGGGAGCAGCCTGCGGGTACCCGCGTTTTGGGGACCCCCTCCCCACTTGCCCCGGCGCGGGCTCAGCGGGCCCCTCCCTCCCCTCCCCCCGGTTGTTTTCTCGTTCCTTCCTCGCCATCCGGGGCTGAGTCATCGCTTGCTGCCGTCTCGCTGCTGACGGTCTTGGACCGAGATGCGGGGGGAGGAAGGGGGATGCTGCCCCCCAAAAAGGAGTGGGGACCTCATCACACCGCTGCGTGTGTGCCTTGGGGCCCCCCGTGCTGGGAGAGCGGGTCCCCCCATGCTGCAAGGTGCAGGGCCGTGCCCTCGTCTGGTAGTGCCACATGTAGGAGGGTGAGAGACGATCCCGCTGCTCGCTGCTCCCCTAGCTCTCCCTACCCCACTGCCAGCACCCCACAAAGCTCCAGGCTCCCCCCTTCCCAGAACCAGGAACGGGCTGTGCTCAGGGCCTGCTGCTCAGGTCTGGGGATGAGGAAGGCTGCACTGAGGCCCTGCTGTGGGGTTCCGCACTGCCACCACACTGCACCCCCCTGGCACTTCGCTGCAGAGTAGGGTCCCCAAGCAGGTGGCTGCCCTGCTAGTGATGAGCAAACCCCTCTGAGCCTCCCTTGCTGACTGTGCTCTGTCTGTCTGTCTGTCTGCCCCAGGCTGTCTGTTTGACCGGAGGTTGTGCTCCCCGCAGGAGGTGTGTGTGCAGGGTGAGTGCCTACAGAAGAGCCCTGGTCCTGCTCTATCTGAGGTGGTGCTTTGTGGGGGGCAGCAGGGAAGAATGCAGGTGGGGCTGTTCCACCTCAGCTGTGTTCATCCCTCCTCCCCACCACCCTGCTCTCTTGCAGATGGGCTGTTCGGGCAGTGTCAGGTGGGCTCGGTGCAGGACAGGCCCCACTTTCAGGTCACCTCCCCCGTGCTGCAGCGCCTACAGGATGTCCTGCGGCACCTCATGGCACAAGGTAAGGGCTGGGGAGGCATAACCATAGGTTGGGCAGCATCACACAGAGGCACCATGGGGAGCAGGGACGTTTGAGGTCCCACTGGTTGGGAACTGCACTGGGGCGAGGAGGGATTCATCTGGCTCTGGGAGGAACAGGGGTGACCTCGAGCACAGGGTAGCCCCCCCCCCAACATCTCATGGCCTCCCTCCACCGCAGGGCTCTCGTGGCAGGATGGCATCACACAGTATGTAATCTCACAGGAGATGGAGCGCATCCCCCGCCTCCGCCCACCATCCTCACTGGAGCCCTCACCCAGGGACAGGTAGGGCAGGGTGGAATGGGGGACAAAGCAGGGCTGGAGAGCTGTACCCAACTGCCATCCCTCGCTGTTTGTCCCAAGGTCCCTGCCTGTGCGCAGCTCCCCCCGGCGCACCTCACTGCCCATGGCCCCCAGCCTGCCTGCAACCCAGCATTTGGGGCAGCCCCCACAGCTGCTGCCCTCAGGCCTGGCTCAGCGCTACCTGGAACACCTGCTGCTGCCCCCACCACCCCAACTGGGCTACGAGGAGGCTCTGCTGCATCCCTACTCCTACCACAAGGTATGTGGCAGGGCGAGGATCCTGTCACAACCCCTTCTCCCTGTGTTGGGATGTACAGTGGGTGCTGACCCGAGGCTGTGGTTTGGTTGCAGTTTGGCTACCAGGATACCACACACCAGCTCCCAGGTGGCTCGGCCAGGCAGGGCCCTGATGCTGCCTCACTGCTGGTCCGCGGCCTGTATGGGGCTGGCCCCATGCCCTCTTACAGCGGGCAGCCGGGGGCAGAAGGTGGGCACCTCTTCCAGGATCTGGGCCTGCTTGCACTGCCCAGGGAGAAAGCTGCTCGCATGGACCTGGCCACCAGACCCCTGCATAGTGTGCGGCTCCCAGGTGACTACAGGGATGTGGGGCAGCAGGATCAGGCATCAGCTGTGGCTGCCCGGCCATCCCCTGCACAGACAGGTATGCATCCCTTGAGCTTGGGGCTCTCCGTCCCATTTGCCCTCCATCCCTGAAATCCCACAGCCCTACGTGGGTGCAGAGCTCTCACCAAATGCCACATTCCCTTGCAGATGCCTCCCTGAAGAGACTGGCCTCCCTGCTGGCTAGCTACGGGCTGGGGCTGCCTGAGCTCAGTCCCCAGCAGCTCAGCAGTCTCTCTGCCCTTCTGCAGCTGCTGCAGAGCTCCAGTGAGTGGAATACAGGGTCCAACAGTGCTGGGTGTGGGGTGCTTGCCTTCCTTTGGGATCCCCATCCTTCTCTTTCCCAGGTGCTGCCAGCCCTGAAGCACCCACAGCAAAGCAGCTCAGTGCTCAGCAGGGAGCTGCTGGGCCACAGGTGGGTTGTGTGTGTGTGTGTGTGTGGGAGGAGGGTATAGCCTCCCTAGGGGACTCCTCGGGGGTCCCAGCACCTTCCTGTCTCCCATCTATAGGTGTCAGAGGGGGACATGCAGCATGGAGAGGAGCCAGTGCCACCCTCCTCCACGGTGCCATCTCCCAGGGTCACAGCCAGCAGTGCCCCAGCACAGGGGCTGGGGGGCCGGGCAGCCACCTCACCAGCCCCCCAGGCCCAGCCACAGATGGGGCATGGAGGGGACAAGACGATGGCGGTGGAGAAGAAGAGCTACACAGAGGTGAAGGACGGTGGTGGGACGCAGCGGGGCACACGGCCACCCGATGAGTATGGCTACATCATCACGGACCAGAAGTGAGAGTGGGCCAGGGCACTGCACAGACCCCATCCCCAGCACTGGAGCCGCGTGCCCCCCTCACCCCACCTTGTTCCCGCAGGCCGCTGGGGCTGGCTGCTGGCGTGCGGCTGCTGGAGCTCCTGGCCAAGCGTGTGCACCTCTCCACCACCAGCTTCATCAACATCAGGTGAGGGCAACACGGTGCTGCCTGGGGATGGGATAGGATGGGCTCTGTGCCCTGCTCTCACCCTGTGTCCCCCCCAGTGTCGTGGGGCCCGCGCTCACCTTCCGTGTGCGGCACAACGCCCAGAACCTCTCGCTGGCAGATGTGGCCAGCCGGGCTGGTGAGTGCTCAGGCTGGGGACCCCTCCTTCTACACACATCTGTTTTCCCCTCTTCTCCAGGGGCTGAGAGGGGGTGTGGGCGTCAGGAGGGGAGAGGGCTCCCACCATGCATCCCAGTGCTGCTGGCTGAGCTGGGGACCTGGGGCATGGTGGGGTGTTATTGGACTCCTGGAGTTTTCTTGGCCAAGGGAAAGCACCCCCTGACTGTCTGTCCCTGTCTGCAGAGCAAATGAAGGCAGAGCTGGAGGCTGAGCTGGGCCTGAAGATTGTGCAGACGGGAGTGGGAGAGGTAAGACCATAGCATGGGGACTTAAGGCTGGGATGGGGCTGCAGGGAACTGGGAGCTGCGGGGTCTGCAGGTGGTTCTGGGGCCACTGATGGCCCCACATAAGGCTCTGATGGGGGCTTTACGTTTGGAGCATTCTGGTCACACCCCGCAGCAGGATGCTGCCTGTGGGTTTGGGGCACTTATCTCTTAGTAAAACACAAACCCACGGGGTCTGAAGGCATTCTGGGAGGACGCCCCCTCCATCCAGGACTTGGCTCATCCCCAGCCTCACTTCCCTCCAGTCTCTATTCGTGGCCTGGGCACGCCAGCCCTGTGCTAAGCACCCTGGGGACTAGGCAGGGAAAATGCCATCATCCCTGCAGGGAGCAGCGTGGCAGCTGGAGGCAGGATGGAGCAGCAGCCATCTGCTGGGAGATAGCCTCCCTCCCCTGCTCCTGTGGGCCACAGGAGCCATCCCATGGGGGACAGAGATAGAAATGGAGCCTATGTTAGCAGCTGGGGAAGGGCACAGCAAACCTCTGGGCTATGGTCCATATTCTACTGCTCCTGCCCTGGGGACACCGGAAGGGGGAAGGCCACCAAGGCAACTGATCTCCATCAGACCCATGCACAGTGTCACGATGGCAGTGCCTTTTGATGTGACAAGTGGCAGGAGCCAGGAGGGAGGGAATCTGCAGCCCTAATGAGTGCTTCTCTAATGAGCAGGACCCCCGAAAGGGAGTTGTTTGCACTGAGGGGTGAGCTCCTTGTGCTGAACACCCCCAAGGGCAGGGGACAGCAAGCGCTGGGCCTGGCACTGCCCCAGCAATGGGGGCAGACAGCAGGGACATCCCCAGGCAGCGTAGGCAATGATGATGATGATGATGATAACGATGACGCAGCGTTCCCTCGGTAACCTCATCAGGCCCATGGCCAATGGGAAGCCGAGGCAGTGAGGTAATGTAGGGCTTTAGCATCTCATTGGATGCAGAGTATTTGGTGGTGGGGCTGCCCTAGCATACTGCCCACCCCTGGCTCTGGGAAAGGACCCTGGAGGGATCGGCCTTGGGGGTCTCGGTCTCATCCAGCGAGGACTCAGCACCCTCCTGTCCCAGCATGGGGGCTGAAAGGCTGAGGAAGGTCTGGGATTCAAGGTCTTGGGTTGGGTCAGACAGGAGCTCACTGAGCCCAGGCTCTGAGGGCCCCCACCTGCCCTGCAGCCTGGCAGGGCTGGGAGGCAGTCCCTGGTGCTGGGAGCAGCAGGTGGCTGCTGCTTGGGCTTGTCCAAGCTGTGCACCTCCCGCACCCCTGGGGGTCAGGGCTGTGAGCTGTGCTAAGTGCAGGCACAAGTGCCCCTTGCAGGGACACCAGCTCTGCCCCCACTGAACTGAGGAGCGACACAGCTCCAAGCATCCTCCGTCTGCTTTAGCCCCCACATCCTCAAACGCAGTGTGGGATGGGTTCTGTCCCTGCACCCCTCCTCGTCAGATGCCTCACTCTAACCCTTGCTTGGCTCTGCCTGCAGCGGAACGAGGCGGCTGTGTACCCACGCCCCTCTCACTTTGGGGACGGCTTCCACTCGGTGCTGCTCACCTTCATCGCTCTGGCCTGCGTGGCTGGTGTCTCCATTGCAGCCGCTGCAGCCTTCTGCCTCCGGCAGCACGCCAAGCAGAGGGAGAAGGAGCGCCTGGCCGCCCTGGGGCCCGAGGGGGCCGCCGACACCACCTTGGAGTACCAGGTAGGGATGCGGGATGCTGCATCCGCACGGCTGTGGGTACAGGGGGGGCCCTGTGGCTGAGGACTGGGGCTCTGGTCACTGTCCCCAGGAGCTGTGCCGCCAGCACATGGCCACCAAGTCGCTCTTTGGCCGTGCCGAGGCCCCTGCAGCACCAGCAGATACGTCGCGAGTGAGCAGCGTCTCGTCACAGTTCAGCGATGCCCCACAGCCCAGTCCCAGCTCACACAGCAGCACGCCGTCCTGGTGCGAGGAGCCTGTCCAGTCCAACATGGACATCTCCACTGGGCACATGATCTTGGTGAGCCCCCCTAGCAGGCTGTGGCCCCCAAGGTTCCCCCTAGTGCCGGGCTGACCCCCCTCTCTGCATCCCAGGCGTACATGGAGGACCACCTCCGCAACAGGGATCGGCTGGCCAAGGAGTGGCAGGCGCTCTGTGCCTACCAGGCTGAGCCCAGCATCTGCTCTGTTGCCCAAAGCGAAGCCAATCTGAAGAAGAATCGCAACCCAGACTACGTGCCCTGTGAGCATCCCAGGGCTGTGGTGCAGGGCACGGGGATGTTGGAGGTGTGGTATGGTGTTCACTGCCTCCCCTGCGCTCCTCTTCTCCAGATGACCATGTGAGGATCAAACTGAAAGCTGAGAGCAACCCGTCCCGCAGCGACTTCATCAATGCAAGCCCGATTGTGAGTGATCACTGGGGTCCCCCCTGGCTCCAGGGACAGCAGGAGCTCCCTTTCAGCTCCACTGCCCCCAGACCATCCCCTGTTCCTTCTGCTGTCACACACTCCCTGACCCAATGACACGCAGCGTGACGCTCCCTTCCCCCCTCCAGATCGAGCACGACCCGCGGATGCCGGCTTACATCGCCACGCAGGGGCCATTGTCCCACACCATCGCTGACTTCTGGCAGGTGAGCGTCACCCAGCTGTGCCAGCATCTGGGGACGGGGGCGTGCCCCGTGCAGCTCTGGAGCTCCTGCATCCCGGTGACGCTCGCTGTGGTCCAGAGGGGTCACGGCAGCTCGGCCACCGCACCTGGGTTGTCACCCAGCAGTGACAGCGGTGGTGTTTGGCGTGCAGATGGTGTGGGAGCACGGCTGCACCGTCATCGTCATGTTGAGCCCGCTGGCTGAGGACAGCGTCAAGCAGTGCGACCGCTACTGGCCGGACGAAGGCTCCTCGCTGTACCACATCTACGAGGCGAGTGTGGGCTGGCAACAGGGAGCACCCCGCAGCCCCTGTGCCGGGGGCACCGCGAGCATCGCCCCGCTCCAGCGGGGCCGCGCAGGGTCCGCTGCTCGGTGCTGACACCGCGGGCCGACCCTTCTCCGGGCAGGTGAACCTGGTGTCGGAGCACATCTGGTGCGAGGACTTCCTGGTGCGCAGCTTCTACCTGAAGAACGTGCAGTCTCAGGAGACCCGCACCCTGACGCAGTTCCACTTCCTCAGCTGGCCGGCCGAGGGCATCCCCGCCACCACCCGGCCCCTCCTCGACTTCCGCAGGTGGGTGCCAGCCCGGGAGGGGGCACAGCGGGCTCTGAGCGGGCCGGGCACGGCTCGACTTGGGGGGTGGGAGCCGGCGGTGGCCCTGGTGGCGGGCCTCCTATCCGCCCCGCTCCTGCGCTCTGTCTCTGTCCCCGTCTCGCAGCTGCCGGCGTCATTTTTGTGATTTGCAGCTAGTAATCTGGCTCCAGTTGCATAGTCACAAAAGTGATCGTTGGCAGCCGTGCCTGCCGCACGGAGCGTGCCGGGAGCCCAGCCGGGGCCGGACCGCAGCCATCCCCGCCAGCGCCGCTCCCCCGGGGGCTCCCGCTCCCGGCCCACGCTGGCAGGCGGCAGGAGCCCCGCACCGGACCCCGGTGCCCCCTCCCAGCGCAGCCAGACCCAAGCAGGCGCTGACCCGGTGCCTCTTGTCCTTGCAGGAAGGTGAACAAGTGCTACCGGGGCCGCTCCTGCCCTATCATTGTGCACTGCAGGTACCGCAGCGGGGGGGTCGCGGGTGGGGGCTGTGAGGCGAGGGCCGGGCCGGCAGCCCCGTCACGCTTCTCTGCGTCTTCCAGTGACGGCGCAGGCAGGACCGGGACCTACATCCTCGTCGACATGGTCCTGAACCGCATGGCCAAAGGTACGGCGTGCACCACGCGCGCAGGGAATGCGGCGGTGGGCTCGGCCCTCACCTTCCTCGTGTCCCCGCCCTAGGTGTGAAGGAGATTGACATCGCTGCGACGCTGGAGCACATCCGCGACCAGCGGCCCGGCATGGTGCAGACCAAGGTACCCCCAGCTGGCTGGCCCTGCTGCCCCCTCCCCGAGCAGGAGCTGCTCCAGCCTCACCCCGTTTCGCTCCCCCAGGACCAGTTTGAGTTCGCTCTGACCGCCGTGGCTGAGGAGGTGAACGCCATCCTGAAGGCTCTGCCGCAGTGATGGCGAGGATCCCCCGCCCTTCCCTCTCGTTTCCCTGCCGTCCCCCCGCCCTCTGGCTTCGAGCGCGCTCCTGGCCCTGTAAATGCTGTCTGTGCTGCTGGCTCTGTTTTTTTCCCACCCTTCTCCTTGGGCTGCAGGGCTCAGCCCTTTGCGTGCCCCGTGGCGTGCAGCCCCTTTGCTCCCGCTACTGCAGTGGAGCGCGGGCTCTTGTCCCCTGCGGCGGAGGGGGAGGGCAGTGATGCTGGGAGAGTGGCCGTGGGGATCCCCCGGCCGCTCTCCCACCCCTGTCCCTGTGCCCAAGCGGGGACAGGAGTGGGCGGGATCCTGGCCCTGCCCTGTCTCCTCTGTGTCACCCCCCCACCTTGTCACTCAAGCAGAAGAGAAATTTCTAGAGAAATATAATTTTGTATCTTGATGTGAATAAAGTTCTCGTGTCATGTTTGTGCAGCTGCAGCTGGGCCTGGCCTCTCTCTGTGTCCACGGGAAGGGGGACGTGGTGGTGGCAGCATCCCGTGGAGCCTTGGGGGAAGCAGAAGGAGCACAGCAGAGCCCAGGCAGGGGGATCCCACATCTCTTTTTGGGGCTGCCCCCATCCCAAAGACACCCTACATGCGGCAGCTCCTGCAAACAGGTTTATTGACTGCTGTAGGCAGATGGGGTTTGGGGGGGACTGTGGGTGAGGGGATGGAGGCAGAGGCTGGCACCATTACCTTTGTCCTGGCTGGCTGCTCCTCACTGCCTGCCACAGCCCCCTGTGCCCCTGAACCTCACCTCGGGGGAGCAAGACCTGCACCCCCCCCAGCAGCCAGCTCAGGCTAAGCTACAGCAATCCCTGCTCCAGCCCCCTCTCATCACCCCCTCCCCAGCACCCAGCATGTGGTGCATGGGGCATGCTCAGGGTCCACCTTTCTAATCCTATGGGTCTTGCTTGGCCACACGCGCTATCCATCCCCCCCACCCTTCACCCCACCCCCACTATATCCCATGGAGCTGGAGGGTGCTAGGGGAAGGAGGTGGCAGGGGGTGGCCGTGCAGGGACAAAGCGGAGTCCTCTGTGCCTCCGTGGGCGAGCGGGTGTGCACGGTCCCTGGGCGCAGCAGCCTCAGAACACACCTGGGGAGACAAGCGGAGGGGGGGACACAACATGACTGGTGAAACCTGGTGCTGGGAGAGCGTGGCAGCCAGCTGGGATGTAGGAAAGAGGAAGGTCCTGGGAGGAAAGCCAAGGCACTGTACAGCAGAGCTGCACCCATCTTCTGCACGGGAAGGGGGTGACAGCCAAGGGAAACAAGGGGGATCATGCCCCCAGCCAAGGCAAGTGCCCCTGTGGGGTGTGCAAGGAGTGGGAGAGAGCAGGCAGGGTTCTGCAGCATGAGGGATGGAGGAGGTAAAGGCAGGAGCAAAGGCTAGACACTAGACACAAGGCACCAAGCAATGTCCGCGCGCCTCTCCTTGCAAGGAGGAGCACCCCACACCCTCCAAGTCTGAGAGGCCAAAACCTCTGCATGGATGCGGAGAAGACAGAGAGAGGGGAACTCCCCTGCCCTCGTTCCACAAATTCTGGGCACAGAGCTGCCCATCCTATAGAGCCCCACCAAGGGCCTTTCTTTTAGCAACCAGGCTAATCTTGGCTGCCCCTCCCCCCCTCCCCCCCAGCACCAGGGCTCCCCCCAGCCACCCTCCACCTTTGGAGGAGCAGGGAAGCAGGGCAGGACTGACCCCCCTTCCATTGCTGTGGGAAACAGCTAAGCCACAGGCAGCCACCGCATCATGGGTCCTTGCTGCAGCTCTGGCACATCATTCTCTTCGCAATGCCCTACAGAGGGCCCTTCCCCTGGGGGGCACAGCCCCTTAACCCCATGTTCACAGCAGGCGGCAGTGCCACTGCTTCGCCTTAGAGGCAGGTTTACGCCCTGGTGTTGTGGGGCTGCCAGCCCTGGGGGACTCCCGCTCTGGCCCCTCCCGAGGCCCGTGGGCTGCGCTGGTGGCACGGAGGCCAGGGCTGCCCCCTGGAGCCGGGGGGGCGCTGGGGCCGTGCCCACCTGCTTGGTGGTGCCCCGCGGCCTCCATCTCAGAGAGGCTGTAGGCCATGGCCAGCTGCAAGTCCTCGTCCTCATCCTCGCTGTCCGTGTAGAGGCAGATGGGCGAGGAGCTCGGAGGCCGCTGTGGGGCAGGTGGTGGGGATGAAGGGGGGCGTGGGCTGGGGAAGGCTTGCTGCTCCCGCCGGCTCAGCTCCAGCCCCAGTGCCATGTCGTCGGGGACACCTGCAGAGAGAGCAGAGTCAATGGCAAGGAATCCTAGCCCCCCCAGCCTTGGTGCCCCCTCCTGCTCAGTGCAGCATAATGCAGAGCTGGGTGCCCAGCTGGGTCTATGTGTCTGTTCTACAAAGGTTGCACAGGGTTCCATGTGTCCAACCCCAAAACCAAGCCTGAGGTAGCCCCCACGGCTCCCACCAAGGAGGTCCCCAAAGGGGAGGATGCTGGAGATGGCATGGCTTGGTGGCACCGCTTCTCACCATCGATGTGGATCGACTTCAGCTCCCCATCCTCCTCCACTTCCACCCGCTCCCGCCCGTTCTCAATAATCCTGTAGGCAAACGGGTGGGCAGAAAGACAGGCAGATGTTAGCCTACAGCCAGGCACTGTGGTAGAAGCAGCCCAAGCCGATGCAGAGGTCCTCACCGCTTTGTGGTGATACGTCGACCATTAACAAAGGTGGTGGAGGTGGAGACGGAGCGGAATCCCAGCCCTGCGTCGGCCCCTGAGCTGAAGGACGAGGCGAAGAAATCTGGAGGAGGGAACAATAAAGAAGCACCTGGGAGGCACGGGCATGTGGGATGGGAGGGTGGCAGGGATGAGCCCAGGGCTCTGTGCCATGCTGGGCCGTGGATGCTAAGCCCAGGTACTCCATATTCCCTACCTGAGGATCCGGGGAAGCTGGAGAAGAAGTGTCCCCCTCCGTGGTGCCGGGGGCCAGCTCCCCGCAACTCAGAGAAGGGCAGCATCTCATCTGGAAAAGCAGGCAGCCCCCATCAGCATCAACCCCTGAGCAGGCTAACGGTGCCCCATAACTGGCCTCTGGCCCCCTCCCACCCCACACGCACCAAAGAAGTCAGCAAAGGGATCTCGCCCACCAAAGAACTCCCGGAAAACATCGTGAGCGCTGCGGAAGGTGAAGGTGAATTCAGGAGCCCCAGCATCGGCTCTGGAGCCCCCCGGCCCTGCTGGAGGAAAGAGACACAGGGTTGAGAGGGGGCAGGAGTTCCAGTGTGTGCAGCCCCACAGCTGGGTCTCCACACAAGGTTGTACCCAGAGCCACACTGACCCCCCATCCCATAGCCCCAGTTCGCCCACTCACCTGCCCCCATGAGGCCCTCTTTGCCATAGCGGTCATAGACATCGCGCTTCTGCTCTGGAAGAAGAAGAGAGGGTGTCAGGGTCAGCGGCCCCAAGGGTGGGGGGTTCCCGTGACACAGCACCGTGGCCTCTTACTGTCTGACAGCACTTCATAGGCCTCAGCGATTTCCTTGAACTTCTGCTCGGCGTATTCCTTGTTGTCTGGGTTTTTGTCCGGGTGCCATTTCAGTGCTGCCTTCCTGTACCTGCACAGAGGGACATTCAATGATGGGTGCACCGCAGCCAGCCAAGCCTCACTGAGCACTCACAGCTCTGGCCATGGTGGCAGCAGCTCTGAGCTCCCAGCCCCGAAATACAAGCCAGCCAGCACTGCCACCAGCACACCAATGCCCACACGCACAGCAGCGCCTCGCATGCAGTCTGGCAGCTCTGGCCACCAAATGGGCAAAAGAACTCCTTTCCCTGCCTCTGCAGCTCATTTCTACTCCTGTCCTCCTGCTTACAGATCCTCCCTTAGATGCACCCCAGCCCTGCTCCCCCCTCGAGGCAGGACAAGTAGATCCGTGGCACACACTGGCCTGGGCAGCGCTCCCGCCACCAGGGACTAACAGATCCCGGGGCCGTGCCGGGCTGTGCTGGCCGCAGGACACCTGGCACCCAGCCACGGCAGTGTCGGGGTCACGCCCGGGCTATGCGAGCCGTGCCACCGCCCGGCGCGCAGCCACACGGCCGCACAACCGCTTCCCTCCCGCTCCCTGCTCGACCCGGGTCGGCGCTCCGGGTCGCGGCGCGGCTCCCGAAGCCGGTCCCGCCCGCCATCCTCGGCCACCCCCGCGCCCTCCGAGGCTCGGCCGGCGGGCACCGACTTACGCCTTTTTGATGTCGTCTGCGGTGGCGTTGCGGCTCACACCCAGCGCTTCGTAGTAGTCCACCATGACGCGCGGCCGTCCCGCGGGGTCGCTGGAGGAGGAACGGCGGTGTCAGGCGGCACGGGATGCGAAGCAGCGCCGCGCTGAGCCCATCGCTCCCCCCGCGGCCGCTCAGACCTGCCCGGCACCCAGACCGGCGGGCAGCATCCCGCTGCCGGCTCCGCGGGCGCTCCGCGTTACCTCTGCGCTCGGCCGTGCCCCGCCGGGTGCCGCCGGTCCCGCAGCGCAGCCCTCCCGAGCCGCAGCCGCCCCGCGAGTGCCGCGGCCCCGCGATAAGGCGCTTAGCGCCCGCTCGGCCTTAGCGGATTAGCGGCTCGGGGCCGGCGCTGCCGTCACGCACCGCGGCCCCGACCCGCGGCCCGGGCCGCATCCGATGACGGCACCGGAGGCCGCGGCTCGCCCTGACCCGCGCCGGGACGTCGATACGGCGCTCCGGCGCCCGCGCGGCTGCTGGAAGTTTCCGCAGCTCCCCCCCGCCGCCGGGACCGGGCCGCCGGGAGGGGGACGCGGCGGGACGCCGCTTCGCGGAAGGGGCCCGGCCCCGCGATCGCCCCGCGCGCCCCGGTGCGCCCCGCGCGCCCCGCGCCCACCTGGCAGCCGCAGCCGCAGCCGAGCCCACCCCGCCCGCACCGGGCCGGCGAGCCGCGTCCCCCAGCCCGGGCCGCCGCGGGGCCTGGAGGCGGGATCCGCGGGGTGACGGGCGTCGGCCGCGGCCAATCGCGGCGCCGCTACGCTGTGACGTCACGAGCCGGGCCGTTTCGGGGCCGGGTGGCGGAGAGCGCGGCGGGGCCGGGGCCGGGCTGCGGCGCGCGGCGCGCGGAGGGCCGGCCCGTGGCTCCGCGCCCGGTCAGCTGCGCTGCCCGGCCCTGCTGGAAAGGCCGCGATGCGGAGCGGCGACGGCAGCGGGGACAGCTGGGGTGACTCAGCGCTTTGCTGCTCCCGCGGGGGGGAGGGGGGGACGGGACGCGGGCGCCGGGTGTCGCTCCTCCTGCGGCCGGGGGACGGCCCGTGCACCGCGCCGCCGCGGGCACCAGGGGGAGCCCCGGGCCGGGGAAGCCCTCCGCACGGCGACGGGCGTTTTCAACCCGGCCGCCCCGCGCATCGGGAGGTCCGCGGCAACCGGTGCTGCGGCGCACCGCGGCCGCTGCAGAGCGGTGCCCGACGCGGGGCCGGTCCCTGCTCTGCTTCGGACCCAGCAGCGGAGGCTGGACGGGACTATTAACGAGCGGGGATGTTTTAGATCCGCCCGACGCAAAGGGCGCTTTGTAGCAACAAATTGCTACAAGTTTATTTGGGAATGTGGAGGAAGGGGCAGCCCCGTAAAGCGCTGAGCCCAGGTGCCTTAGGAGTCCGGGGCCCCCGGCACCCCGGCGGGTGACGGGCATCTCCGCATCTCCCTCCCCGGTAACTGTTTCCCTCTGAAATCCACCGGCACTTGGCCAGCCACCAGCACCGCCTTTCCGCTTTTAACAATGCTGCAGCAATGCCCCGTGACTCCAGGCTGGTTCCTCTGTCCGACGAGCCGCTGGCACTACGCACAGCCCCCTGACGTCTCTCCAAACCCCCTTGCACGTGCACATCGCCCTCACACACACCTGCCAAGTCATCGAGGGCTCTGGTTCTCCCCAAAACCGGGGGAGCAGATGAACGTGCAGGGCTGTGCTGCTGGGGATGGGGAAGTCGGCTCTGACTCTTGCCCCATCGCTGCTGTCCCACGCCGGCACACTCCTCAGTATTGCATCAGAACTGGCCGCAGCGCTGTTGCAACCCCCGACCACTTGTGGCACAGGAAGGCCTGCAGGCCTGGGAATGGGCATTCAGCTGCGGGTCCAAAGCCTGTCCCCAGAGCCTCCCATGAGCTCTATCATCACCTGCCCATCAGAATTCAGTGGCACCAGTACCAGGAGTGTGGGCACAGTTCATCTGCCGGCTGCCTGGGGGCAGCTGCCTCACCCCAGAGCCCCGACATGAAGTCATCACCATCAGCCAGACGCGGTCTGTTCACCGCCGTGGGTGTGCAGCCACTTTTCTCAGGGTGTGAATGAAGAAGGGAGGTGACACCTGCCGGCCCCTGAGCCAGGGCGGCTGCTCACCGAGGGCTGGTCCCGACTCGCCCCTGGTAGCCCGGCACGTTGGAGATGAGCACAGCTTCATCCCTGGGAGCGCCTCCCTGCCCGGTGAGTCAGGGCTTAGGGCTGGAGCGAGGTCTGGAATTACCCTCATTGTTCCGCACGCAGCAGGCATTTCACAATTCTCTTCATTTCATCTGAACCAGCAATTACACGGCTTCAGCTCGGCTCCAGCGCAGAGAACTCACAGAGCAGGGGCACAGCCAGCACCAGGACACTACTACAGGAGGAGGGCGGGGAGCAGGCAGAGCAGCATTTTGCTCCCTGCATCCCCACGGTACACAGGGCTCTGTCATCTGTGCTGTCTCCAACCTGTTGTACTCTTTCTTCCATCAACAGTTCGGTTTTTCACCACAGGTCTCTAGCAGAATGGTGTACAAACAGACACAGGCGCCTCCTGGAGAAGCTGTACATCCTTTCACACCTTGAGGTGCCAGCAACTTGTCGTACAAATCCTGCAAAGTCGGGGGCACTGCTCGCTGCCTGGCTCTGCTGCTCATGCTCCAACCTGCACTGCAGACTGCTCATGCTATAAACGCCCCAGAATTGATTGGCACAAGGCAGCACGGAGACAGGAGACACCCAGCACCAACCCCTTGGCATCTGGGAGGTATTTCAGCCAGCACCTCTGCAAAGATTTTCATGGGGAAAGTGGATCCCACCACTCTGTTTCACACAAATTAGCTTACAAGGCTCAATTTTTGATGCCTCAGTGCTCCCAGCCTGCCTCCCACTCACAAACTGCGTGCATCAGCATGGGCTGTGCTATCTGCAGATCTCTGAGGTCACTCAAAGGACATTTATAGCATGGGTCATGTAGGCATTTCTGGAGTCACACAGCCATCACGGCACCCTGTGGTCCAGCAGCACACCCAACCTGGGGATGTGCTGCACTGTAGAAGCAGCACACTTTCCCACTGGCTCAGTGAGCCCCACCTTGCTCATTTAGCCCAGGCAACTCAGAGGGCTCTGGGTATGCTGATAGGCTCTGGCACAGCCTTCATAGCAGTACCACTGCCTTTAGTGAAGGTGACACTGGCCAGGTGACTCAGGGACAAAGAAGGGCCATTGTGAGAAGGTCATTTCCCCCATCAGAGGCTGGGGCAGAGGCAGGGCTGGCTCCGCATCACAGTGGGTGCCGCAGGGTGTTTTAGGATGGACCAAGCATCGGTGAAGTCACAGCAAAGAGCCAATGAGCCCCCTTCGAGGCAAAACTTCATCTGAACAAACGCACGCAAAATATATGCGGATCTATGCAAATTTATGCAAATTGAATGGGCGGGGCCGCCCGCCTCGGAGCGGGGGTGCCTCCCCCGGTATAAGGCAGCAGCGGGGCCGAGCCGGCCGAGCGGAGCTGCGGAGGTTCGGGCAGAGGAGGTGTGCGACAGCGGCAGCATGGTGAGTGCCCGGCCGGACCCCCCCCTCCGGGCCCCCGGACAACACGGGAGGGGGCCCCCGGGGCGGGTGCGACTACCGGGGCGGTGTCCGTGCAGCCGGGGTCCCGCACGCGGTGTGCTCCCTGTCCGTGCCGGGCTGCAGCCTTTACCAGGCTGCTGTGTTTGCTGTGCCCTAAGCAGGGGGGCATCGACGCAGGGAAAACTGCGTTAAGGCTGAACCCGTCCCTGCTCCTCCTTCTGCACCCTTTAACGGCCACAGAACGCCCGCAGAAGCACCGTACTTCCCGTGGCCGTCCCGAGGCTCTGATAGCAGCAGAGGTGGTGGCTGCGTGCTTCTGCTGCGGAGTTTCCTAGGGCTCACCGCTGGCTTTCGTGTTACGAAAGCTGATGGAGCTGCTGGGGGCGGGGGGGGGGAGGATGAGAGAGTGTCACTTTGCTCCTTGCTCCTCAGCTTTGGGAAAGATGGTGAGAGCCAGAAGTCCATCTCTCTAAAGCTGCCAAGGGCTTGTTTCTCTATCCCTGTCCCCTCTGCCTGTGAGTGGCGCTGAGAGCACCCTGGGTTCTCCGCTCTTGTGGCTATCGGTGCTGCACCCAGTGCACAAAATGGCCCCACCGCCTTCCTGCCCGCTGACTCACAGCGGGGCACGGAGCGCTGGAAATCCGGTTGGGTTTGGATGTTCTGCCCGATGACACATCCCCGTCTTGGCAACAGCAGGACCAAGGCAGAGTTATTTTGGTGCTTGTCAGAAGGGCTGCAGCCTGTGGGGTGTCTCACCTGGAGGGAGGGAGGCTGCAGGAAGGATCTCAGCCCGTTGCTGGGGGACTCTCTTGCATCATCAGCCTTTGGTTCAGCTGCAGCGTGCAGCGAATGCCTCCCACTCCAGAGCTAATTTAGGGAAGTGGAGCCTCCGAGCATGGTAACCATTCAGTGCTGCAAACTAGTCCCTAGGCAGGCTCTTGTTCTCAATGCCGTCACATCCACAGTTTCCAGGGCATGGGCACTGCTCTGCCATCACAGCCCTGCTCTGAAAGTAGCAGATGGACAGGGGCCATGCCAGCTGCTGTGGGGCTCAGCCTTCCAACTGTGTGTGTTCATGAAATGAAGGAGATGCTCCCAGGGTTGTTGGCTGTGGCAAAGCAGGGAATGTGCTACACCTGTGGTCCCCACTGAGCTCTGATCCTGCCTCCCCCTCCGCAGCGTGAGTGCATCTCCGTCCATGTCGGCCAGGCCGGCGTCCAGATGGGCAACACCTGCTGGGAGCTGTACTGCCTGGAGCATGGCATCCAGCCTGACGGGCAGATGCCCAGCGACAAGACCATCGGTGGAGGGGATGACTCTTTCACCACCTTCTTCTGTGAGACCGGCGCCGGGAAGCACGTCCCGCGGGCCATCTTTGTGGACCTGGAGCCCACTGTGATCGGTGAGTGCTGAGCTCGGGGTGCATGGCACGGGGTACAGCATGGGGTGCTGCTTGCAGGCACATTCTGCACACTCACTCTAACTACAGAGTAACCCAGGGCCTTCTAAAACCTCTCCCCATGGCCAGTCATGGCTGATGTTGTGCTAACCTCTCCTAGATGAGATTCGAGGAGGGGTCTACAGGCAGCTCTTCCACCCTGAGCAGATGATCACTGGCAAGGAAGATGCTGCCAACAACTATGCCCGTGGGCACTACACTATTGGCAAGGAGATCATCGACCAAGTGCTGGACAGGATCCGGAAGCTGGTGGGTAACCACAATGGGGGATGTGTGCCCATGCACTGAGTTGCAGCATGGTGCATGAGGTGGGAACAAGAAACGAGCCTGCTGTGCACAGGGAGCGGTTTGCAGCTGCTCCAGAAAAGCACTAAAACTTTCCTCCAGCAATTGTCAGAGTGCAGAGGACTCTCAAGTACCTATCTCTCTCTCTCTGCAGGCTGACCAGTGCACGGGTCTCCAAGGCTTCCTTGTGTTCCGCAGTTTTGGAGGTGGCACTGGCTCAGGATTTACCTCCCTGCTGATGGAACGACTCTCCGTTGACTATGGCAAGAAGTCCAAGCTTGAATTCTCCATCTACCCAGCCCCACAGGTCTCCACCGCCGTGGTGGAGCCCTACAACTCCATCCTCACCACACATAGCACCTTGGAGCACTCGGACTGTGCCTTCATGGTGGACAACGAGGCCATCTACGACATCTGCCGCAGGAACCTGGACATCGAGCGCCCAACCTACACCAACCTCAACCGCCTCATCAGTCAGGTTGTCTCCTCCATCACTGCCTCTCTGAGGTTCGATGGGGCACTCAATGTTGACCTCACTGAGTTCCAGACCAACCTGGTGCCCTACCCTCGCATCCACTTCCCCCTGGCTACCTACGCCCCGGTTGTTTCAGCCGAGAGGGCTTATCATGAGCAGCTGTCGGTGGCCGAGATCACCAACTCGTGCTTTGAGCCGGCCAACCAGATGGTGAAGTGCGA